CGCTCTTCTTCCTTCGTTCGACCGGTAATGTTTGTACACTCGGCGAATGCCGAAGAGAATCGAGATCGTTGTTTACGCTGCTCAAGATGGAAAAGTATCCCCTCAAGGTCGGGTATTTGGTCGAACAGCTACTGCCCTCGGTGGAATAATTATTCGAGCAAAGTTTCCTCTCTTCCGTACAATTATTACCGTTTAGCTTCCTCTCTCTGATCTTACTCGCGGTATGAGTCAAACTTGACAGGAACGCGGAAGACTTCTTCAGGATGCTTTCCTCGGTTGTTCTACGACCGATTCTCTGCGTGGTCAGGATACCTGAAATTATTCCTTCTTAACGATTTCTTCGTTGCAGTGGATAACGATCATTCCTCTTATGCGCGTCGATATCGAGTCGAAATTAGACGTGCGTGCTTGATTATTTTCGGCGTCGCGTGCTTCGCGATACGGAACGGTTGAAAAATAGCACGGAAAATCGTATAGGTGTGACGGGTAGCGGAAAATTGGTGAAAAGGGAGAAGATATAGGATGGAATCGGTTATACGTTGAAACCTACCTTCTTTGAGATAATCGGGGACGGAAAAGGACTTGCGAATAGGCCGCTGAGGCTTCCTGAGATCCGTCGATCCTGCGACGTCCTTGGGGAACTGTTCGCCCGAGTACTCTTCTTCGAGGAAGTCGTCCCGATGTTTGGCGCGAGTATTCGCGTTCACGGCCGTCTTGTTCTTCTTGTCAACGATGCACGGCGCCGGCGTCTCTCTCGCAGCGCAGTTATTTCGAGCGAGCTCTCCCCTAGAGGCGACGATGCTGTAGTTGCTCACGGGGCAGGTATTGCCCTTTACCAAAGAGTTGCACTTTAGCCGTGCAGACTGGACACCGTTTACCTGCCAGTTGTCCTCCAGTGTATGCCGGGCATCCTGTTTCGATCACTCATGCATATTAAACGAACCTTTTTACCCCGAGTAGGTAACCGTTTCTCGCAGCATGCAACGTTGTACGAGTCGGAAAACGGTAATTCTTGATCGTGTTCCGAGTTAAATTACGATGCATCGTGCAAGATGATCCGAAGCGATTCCGGCGTTAACGAAATTTATGTTCGAAAAGGAGAAAAGGAGAAAAGGAAAGCGAGAAGCTGAAAAGCAATGGGGTAGGATGGTTACGAAACCACGTATACGTAAGAACAGTGTCAATAAACCGGTACGTAGGCAAACGTGCATCGACGCGGTAACAGGAATGTTTATCTCTTTAGATCTCTTTAGACCTCTTTAGATCTAGTCCCGTTTGACTTTCGTGGTTCGATCAAATGATGCTTCATCATCGCGGTGGAATCCGAGGGTTCTCTTTCGAGTGCGAAAAGCTAGAAACCGAGAAGGATCGAGAGGTATAATCGCGACGCACCGGAGAACCGGAAAAGTTGAAACACTTACTAGAAATTCACGAGCATTGTTTCCGTTTAAATCGATATTCAGAGAAACGAGGGCGAGAACGAGTTCGCGTGTCGAAAATCGATCGTTCCCGCGGAAACTCTCGGAAATCACTGACGGTGTCGCGGATCACGGCACGGCAAGTGTCGGCGTTCGGAGTAGGAGAAGTTCCTTGAAAAGCGAATCGTGCCTTCCGGATCGCCTCGTAAGACGTGCACGCGAGTTCTACCGCATCCGTTTCAACTAAACGCTATTTATATGTCGGTTAAGTCGTTGCGTCGGTCGGTCGGTGGCTCGTCCACGCGTATACGCGTTATTATCGAACAGGCTGTACGAGTATTACGCGCTTGCTTCGCGAACGTACCGTCAACCTGTCTCTTCCAACCACGATCGCGCCTTTCTTCTTCTGTTTTCCGATTAAAACTGTCTTGCCATCTCTCGCACGAATCTATTTACGCTTGGTATTTTCGCATTTACCCCGTGCCCCGGCGCATAAACCGAACGATGCCGCGGCGAACGAAACTCGCGTAAATCTTGTTCGAAAAATTCGCGAAACCGCCTGCTGGGTTTATAAACGACTCGTAAATCAGTCGATCCGTGATTACACGGTCGATTTTCAAAGACGCGAATACACCGACACCGAGTGCTAGTTGGACCGCGGCGCGGGTTCGGACGCAACGCAGAGGAACGCGAACGAGACGTAAAAGAAAAAAGGAAAAGGAAGAAAGAGAAACGAGAAACGCTTACGTGACTAGAGTTTCGTTGTACGCTAGATATACGCCGGAACATGCTGTCTCCGACGTCGAACTTGATCCCGCTGGATAAAGAAATTTTCCCGGAGCAGGTCATATCGTTGGTCGACAATTTGTTCCCTTGATTCTTCGTCATCGTCGATCTAGACTCCATGGAGTATCGAGAAAGCGAGTTATCGACGCGGAGTCATCGAGTCGATCGATGATGATCTTCGATTCGTCGTAACATCTTGCTGCGAAGAATACCGCCTTTACATCGTTGCGAATGCTGGTAAACGAAGCCGAGTGTTCTTTACGAGATCAAAATTTAGAGAGTAACGCGTAGATTACTTGCCGAAAAGTCAATTTCATTTTTGCAGCTTCTAGAACCGAAATTCGCGATTTCAGCCTCGATAGAAACGGGTACTATGTAGACGAGGAGCGTGCGACGATTCGTCTCGTTGATTCGAGCTTTACGCGGCAGCGTACACTCGTCCTTTTGCTAGCCGACCGCGTGCTTATTTTGGCGGCGTTACACACGCCCGACAGGCACATTGCCGTCGTCGACGTGGTGGTGGTCGTCGTCGTCGTCGTCGTCGTCGTCGTGGCCGTCTTCGTGGCCGTCGCCGTCGCTCCTGGCGTTATGCCAATATTTTCGATTCTCTTCTGCACGACAATCTATCGATTATGCCATACTCGAAAAGTCCCTCGGCCTCAAACTGTTTATCGATTTTATAAAATTATTGCCATATCTTCAGCTTGAGAGAGAGCATATGGCGAGCGAGTTATTTTACCAAGAACCAGATTACAAAGCTCTTCTACGTAAAAAGCGTGTCCGAAGAACGCAAAAATATCGAGGAAATATTTGCGGTACTTATCTGAGCCGTATAACGATCCAGCTGTTTCGAAGCATCGATTCTTTCGTACGCGATTGAGGCAAACGTTCGATCGAGATAAGAAAATGTAAATTAATTACGATGAAATGTAAACGAATCGATGTTATGCTTTAAAAATATTTTTCTGATACACATTCTTTTCTTTCTTTCCAATGAACTTCGGTGTCGTTTCAAGTTTTTCGCCTATTTATTTTCCGACCTACACCGATGCTATCTCTCTGCGCTATAACGTTTGTTAAGAAAGATTTGTAGGATGAATATATATCTAAAAACTTCGTTCAATTAGAATAGCGATTGGGATTATAAATTTTGGGGACGACGGATTACCCGCTACTGTCTCGTCGCACAGCCGAGTGACTTTTCCAAGGTGTCGTTAATAGCTGTCGAGTTCTCTAAGTACAACGTGCGATTAATGAAAATTCATAAGAGAACGAAGGTTATCAATGTCGATAGCACGCACGCGACTTCGCGAGGAATAATAATCGTGTTTCGTTGATAATTCACGTGCGACATTGTGTCATTGACACATTTCGAAGACGATAATAACCTCGATGACAAATTTTCGCGAACTCTCCCGTAAGTAACTCTCTCAACGTCTCGGTTACATGGATCGGTTTTCGTATCTACGTAAGAAGGTTCTTTTCCATACTGACTGGCTTCGGTTTAATTTTAAACGAGGTCGACGTCAAACTGCTGGGATCCGTAAATTTGTCGCCTGATATCGTGACCGTGATTCGTTAACGGGTCTTTAATCCGTAACGAAGTGCTGCAAATAAACAGACTATTTTGCGCTAGACAGTTTGCTTATTTTTTCACCACGAACGGAAAATCCACGAGATCCTGCCGTGAATTTGCAAACGTCCGTGTGCGACGAAAGCTCGACGAAATTGTCAACGTCTTTGAAAATTTCGCAACCGTGCTTCAGATCGAAGGAATCAAGCGATAGATACTCGTTCGAATGTCACTTAAGGTCACTCGTAAAGTAACGCTCGTTGATTTTAGGAATCGCTTTAAAATATATTTACCCGGGTACATTTATGTTTCTTGGTGTACGATATAAACGACGTAAATTTCTTCCACTGCGAAGTTTCAAACGTTCGAGCTTCTCGACGTATTTCTCTCTTTCGATCACTGTGAAACTCCGTTAAAAAAATGTTCACCTCTTCTTGGGAAAGCTTCACCGGATATAAAACGATGCCGCGTTTGTAATCGTCGACTGCGTGTAGAAAGTACGGCAAAGACGATAATCCGCGGCGCCATTAATCCCATCGAGCAACTTTTCAAACTAATCTGTTCGCGTAAGGGTTGATTGGATACTGGGCCAAAGTTTAATTCGCACCCTCGCCCTGAAAGTATCACGGGAGTCGTATCGCACGTCCTCTGATCCGCGCAGCCGCGGATTTAGGCCAGGTGTTCCTCTTCGACATCGAGACGACGATAATTTGTTAATATTTTTATGTAATTCCGCTGATATTTTCGTACCCATCGCGAGACGGCGACGAGTTATCATGTAGGAAGTGTCGAACGCGAAACGACAGAGATTTCGCTTATTTTCCTAGCATATTTAACGCGTGTTTCGTTCCATCTATTTTCGTTTCGGTAACGCGCGGCCATCCGATGGGTCGCGTACACGTGTTTGGAAGCTCCGATGATTCAAGTTCAATTAGAAAAGCAAGATTCCCAAAAATAGTGCTTGCAATATTCTGCATCAGCGATTTGGCTACTCGCAAAAAGCATTACGTATTAAACAGATATAATTCCGAAGCAATCTGCCGAAAACCAATGTCTTCCGGCTTTACCGAAACGCACTTTCGAATATCGTCCTACGGACCTAGAATAACCGTTTAATTAGAAATAGATATAGGTCGAATATCTATTCTCAAGACGTTCAAGGTAAGACCGTTACGCAAAATATTTTTTACATTATAAATCGAAACACGGTGGGGAATGTAAATGCAAAGATCGATGCAGAGAGGCGCGCAAGTTTGCACGTAGACGTAGACACGTACCTACAGTCGTTGCTCGACGATATTAATGGCAAACGAACTGCAATTTTGAAGGAAAATTACACTCATCTGGAAAAAGAAGAAATTTTGTGCCTATTCGTGACAGCGTGTTATCGTTGAAAAGAAAGCAATTATCCGCATGCAACTTATGCACCGTCTCATTTACGTTTAAAGCCTTCGTTATTCCGATTTATTGCGACAGATCTCGGTATCAGTGCGATCCCGTATTTTCTTTCGTTATTCTTTATCGGAGAAATGCCAAAAGCTTGTTATTTCGAGGCTAAATTCGGTCTAACGTCACATCTGCGCGAGGCAGACCGTTCAATTCGTCGAAGATCGTTTTTCACGGGAAATATGATTTGTGCCGTCAGGATAAGTTACCTAAACTCGAGGTCCTCGCCTTTGAAAATTAATTTACGCCATCGATTGCAAGATGATAGGATAAAACGATTTTGTTGAAAAACTCGGAAAAAACGATAATGCGTATTTCAAAGTGTAATGCTATATTTCAGTAACATACAGAGTTTACATCGAGGATGAACTATTTGATGCGACGCTAACGGTGTAGCGTGCATAAATCTTCCTCATGCTGGCAGCCCTTTAATTATGAAAAAAATAGCGATATCGTGGCAATGCTGATCAGGTGGAAAATACAATAATCGTGAGGTGATTCTCATCGTGTTCTAGGTACGGTACTTATTTGGCAACAATCAACAACAACTGGGATCAAAGGTCACGAGTGGTAGCAACGATTGCTTAACATTTCGAAGACTCGATTCACCGAATTTCGAGGGAATCCGTTCGCTTCGCCTCGACGAGGGTACCATTTATAATCGTTGATCCCAAAATTACGTAAGAACTTTAACACGGTTCACGTGTCTCCTCTAGTATCCTTTAAATTTCTCCACACATGAAAGCAACGCTTTCTCCTTCGTTACGAGATGCTCCCGAATTCGTGGCAGTAAAAATTCTAAAATCGCGCATCGAACGCATAATACGTTAGAAAAGAAAGAGAATAAAAAACGATTAATTTGAACGCTTAGAAATGAGATCGCTGGCAAAAATACCCGAACGTCTTTCTTCCGGCGCCACCCTTTTCGAGTTACGTACTATTTGTCAAACTATATATCATATATGTATATATACGTATGTATTTACGGATGTATATATAACGAAGAACAAGTTTTTAATTCGCGACATCGAAAAAGAAATAGCTGAAACACGTCGAGCCGAATTCGCAAATCTCGACGTATAAAACACGTAGATATTTAAGGGTACAAAGGCATCGATATAATCCTCGGGGGGAGTATGCGTCGATTTGAAATATCGTAAAGTCGTAGAGGAGGAAAACAGGCGTTTTACCGAAAAAGTATAGCTCGAGAAGTTTGGGAAAAAGCATCCGCCGATCGTAATGTGTCGAAGAATCTAGCTGCGTCGAACTTGCAATATTCCCGAAGATTTCCATCGTCTTTCCATGAATCTTCGGTCGAAGCATAATTTATTGAACCCACGAAGCGGGTACCCAGAGCGGTAAACGCGATAGGAAGATCGGCGTTCACTATCACTTCGTCGAACAGATGACTGTACAGAAATTCGATCCTAGCAGCGCTATGCAAAATTTCATGAAATTCCTCGTCCTGCAAAGAATCGAATTAATAGGGCTACTCGATAAAAATCTGACACCATCCCGCTGAACAAGATCCGCTGATTTACCGTGAAACCTCGGGAGTTGCTTTCATCGAAAGTCGATCTTGCTCTGGCATCGTTCCTTGTTTCTTTCAATATTTCAAACCTAGGCGGTTTTATATATATCACATATGGCTTTGTCTGCGGAGTTCGCAGCATCTTGAGGGCCTGATAGTGAGGGTTCAATAGACACACGTATCCGGCGTTTATCAACGAGCTCACGCTCTCGGAATTGGTACCGTACAAGTTGCCCTTATACTCGCCGTATTCTATAAACTTGCCGGCCTCGATTTCTTCTTCCATCTTTTCACGACTAACAAAGTGGTATTCTTTGCCGTTGACTTCGCCGGGTCTCGGTGGTCTCGAGGTATCTGTGAGGGCAGAGTGCCGAGTAGTCTAGCGATCGATCATCGACTAAAGTGAAATTTGTTAACTGATTTCACGAGCAGGGTCGACAACGATAATGGGAAGGAAAGCGGGTGAAATGTTAGAAAAATTGAGATGAAACTTACAAGGAACAGGCGTCTTGTACTTATCGGGATCAGTGGCCATAAGCCGCCTCTTGAGCTCGTTTCTGCCGACACCCGGTGGCCCGATCAGAACCACCGGTCGATAGAGGCCAGGTCTCGGATAGAGCTTTGCGACCTCTTCGTAGGTCGGTATTTCTTCCCGGTCGAAATCGTCGTTCTCTGCAGCGTCATACATGATTTTTTTAGTTTTTACTCCCTGCAAGTTGCACTTTGTAGGCGAGGCGTGTAAAGAGGTACTGGGACGGGGGCACAATGCGGGCAAAGGCACTGGAACAGAACACAAGCCTAACCGACGGTTAAGTCGTCAGGCCATCATCCGTTAAGAAGGGCAGCCGAGACCAGATCATCGGGTTGTTTCCGTGTCAGCGACCACGGTTCTTATTTGATGCTCTACATCGAAACCTATCGTTTCGAGTCTTTTGCATGCAGTTAACTTGTAAATGCGACAGTGAGATTAGACGTTACAAAGAGATGAGAGATTATGAAATGTTACGAAATCGATCGTAGCACAGCGGGTCCGAATTTCCGAAACGCTACCATTAAAAGCACATCTTCGATCCCGTTCGATCGATCGATCGATCGATCGATCGTTATGTTAATAGACGAGTGAACCGCGTTTGGGAAACACAGACAAGGGCGTTGTATTTTATTTACATTCGACAGTAAACCGCGTCACTTACTTATATTGTCGTTATCGGTTTTCTCCTTTTGTTGTCTCTCAAGGATAATTCGTCTTTCTTGTAGGGCTCTGCAGGGGATCAGGCCAGCCCTCATATTTCGGTCACCCTCGCGTCTGGCTTGCCACCTAATTCCAAACCAAGATGAATGAGATGCACGGTATCGTTCCAAGAGACAAAGAAATTCGAGTCCTACCAATAAACATCGTCCTGACTGACAATGTGAAGAATGTCGCCCTTCGAAAAATCTAGTCCAGCCTCTATGCAAGGTATGTACGGATCTTCGGCAGCTTTATACGAAAAGTGCGCTCTGACTCGTACCTAACGCGGAACGAAATTTTCAGACATTCGAGCAACGTCGAGGAATGACATTAAAGGTAAGAAATGCTTTTCTATTCGACTATACGGGTATAACGAGAATTTCTTTTCAGACAGTATCGTAGAACGTACCTTGCTCTCACGAATTTCCCCTTTACTATCAGCAGGCACTATTTTGAAGGTAATCGTACCCTCAGAATTTTGCTGAAAGAGATCAGTGGTTTTACATCGGATTCATTTAAATCGTAAGAGAGGATAAAAGAGATAAATTCCGATCGCGGATGTATATAGCATCGATCGATTGAGAAAGCGGTATACCGAGAAGATAAAGTAGAAGCTGCGACCTACCATTATTTTAAGAACACAGTTCGGAGTCTTTCCTTCGACACTGATGCCGTTGACCTCGTAAATCTCGTCTCCAACGTGAATGAGGCCGGATCTATCGGCCGCACCGCCATGCATTATTCGTGCTATCACGATCTTGCCGGTGACCTCGCATGTTTTCATGGTTGCCCCCTATTGTCAACGTGTAAACTAATATTTTCATTGCGGTTGCGAGGTGCGCGTGTTAGGTAGTAGTGCCTTCATTTTTCTTAAAAAATAAATAAAAACAAAGAGAATTCATCGCGAAGGCGTAAAACACACATAGGATCGAAGCAGTTGGTTCTTAACGTTGTACGGTCCTCGTACATGACCGTGTTTTAAACGTCATCGGATATGCTCGGCTTCTTTCAAATTTCTCGAAATAATCGGCAGCGATGTCTGTGATAATCGTAATTCGCGAAACGCTGATTCGTTCGCGTATCGCTTATTTATCTCGAGAGATTTTTCACATTTAACACGAGGACATGCGGGACAATAACACAGGATACAATTGTTATGATACAGAAAATTGTTTTATTTACAAGCAAAAATGACAAACGAAAAAACACAAATCAACGGGGTTTAAAACGGACGCAAGGTGTATAAAGTAAGGTACAAGCAAAATTAATAAGTGTGTACGCGTGAGAAAATGAACAGCGTTCTATTTACAGCTCGTTGTATGTACACGCGTTTTCTTTTCACTTCCGTGTTCGTAGAGGCGAGATCGCAAAGTGACAAAACTAAAAGGTCTCTAACAGCTAGATACGTGACAAATGAAGACGAAAGGAAAATAGAAATAAACGAAATACTACGAAATCGTACTGCGAATCGATAGATACGCATGAAACGTTTACAGGCCTGTACATGTTTCAGCTTGAAGTCGACTTACCAGGATCGGTTCAACGCCGGCGCCACACTTCGAAGCAAGTTTGACGATGAAAGAAACACGTGATTACTTAAGAAACTGTATTGAGTACCGCGCGAGCGATACGTATTCGATACTACGATACTTATTACAGGGACACCAGGTATCTAAGTCGATATAAAGGATTAATCATGATCAAGTCCCATGCAAATCGTCCTAATTAGTCCAAAACAATTACGCTATCACACGTTCTCTTACTCTCTTTCTTTCTTTCTTTCTTTCTTTCTTTCTTTCTTTCTTTCCCATATACATAAAAGATGACTTATTATACTCTTTCCGTGCAATTACCTTCCGAACTATACGTTATCAAAAGAAAGGCTTCGAGTAAAACGAGGGTTTTATCCGATATCTTTTCTCCAGTAATATATAGCTGAAAAAATAATTGCACGTGGAAAGATTATAACGCGTCAATCAACATGTATATCTATTCAAAGAGAAACACGTATGTATATATAATATATACGGTATATCGTACAATTATATATAGCCCCCTTCTCTTTCGACCCTAAGTATCAATTCGTACTATATTATCAAGCTTTGATTTTCTTTGTCGTGTTAACTTAGCGAAAAACTTACTTCAAGGAAAACATTAAACACTAACGTGCGACCTAACTGACGTACCAAGGGTTCGTTCGATTTCACCAACTGCACGATCTTGACGGTTTCTTCATCCTCGTCGACTTCCAGGGGAATCTCCGGCAATCGGGGATAGTAGTCTTTCTGGGCAACCGCGTCGTGAGCGCACAACAAACCCTGCGACAAAATGTCTCGATTTTTCCTCAATATTTCTGCCCACCTATTCCTTTGTCAAACGTGTTTTCGTTTCTTTTCTGCAAACGTCGCAACCACGCTACCTGTATATGCGGCTTTTGAAGTAAATGGAACAGTTCCTTGCACTCCTTGGAGAGGTGCGTTTTGGTGGATAACAGGTCCAGAACTTCGATGTCAATGTCCATGGCATTGGAGAGTACAGGAAAGAATTTGTCGTCCTTGACATTGTTCAAAATTTTATTGTGCACGTTCACTAAAGCGTTCAATTCCTTCGACTGCAATAGTTCACTGAGAAATCCAAATTCCTCCTCGGTACAACTCGGTATCTCGTTCTTGTTCTCCTGCAGAGAATTCAGCAGCTTGGACAATGCTGAAAAAGAAAGAGAGAAGAAAGAAAAGAGAAAACAGACACAAGAAGGAATATTTCTTTGAAATAGCGCCACTATCTTTTAAAGATTATGTACGACTTCTGTTCAGAAGCATCGAGTTCACAACACATTTATTTCCTGATCGATAAACGAATTTCCCGTTAACGCGAAACTCGTTATTCTACGGTAAATTTTCGTTTCAACAACAGCGCCAAGTGAACTCGGACATTTTGTTGAGGAACTTGCTAGCAGGTAAAAATAGGCGTAGTGCACTCGTACACGGTACGAATGTGCGTTTCTACTTTTCCAAAGCATCGCGTTCTATCGAACCGGTGAAGTTGAACACGGTGAAATGCGAAGCAGTATTTTAATTTGTCGAGTCAACGTGCGTGGCAATGATTAAAGGCTAAAAAAGGAAAACGATGAACGAAAACAAACGTGTCGTGGCAGAGCATAAGTGATTGCCCGTTTGAGTTTACTCACCAGGATCCCAATTTGTGTTTTCCATGACGAGCGCCGCTGTCATAATTTATCAGAACAGGCTCCGATACTTTTTTCCAGCCTGCTGGATTCGAAACTAATAGGGTGCACTCGAACAGTGGCGTGCTACGATATCAGAACGACAGAGACTAATCAGGTCAGCCGCGATGCGTATTTCTAGCAGATTCGTGCGCAGCGCCGCGAATAACCCGGTAAAACAGTTTCTTGTTTCGCATTCGCGGCTGGAGTATCGTTATCATAGCGAGAATAATCCGTTACGTAAGCCACTGTCACTCGACACGGGGTAGAATGACCACCGCTAGATTCCTCTCATCTTGCATCTCGACAACCTTTTTGCGTTTCAACGGGCCAAACACTCTGGAACACCAAACATCCTTTCCGACAATCACCGAACGATCCAACCGAAGACTTCTTCGTTCACCGTATAATTCAATTTAGCCAATATTCACGATTTGGTAAGGGTTTTCGATCATTTTTCGGCATGGACGCGACACAGCGCGTTGCCTTGGGTGGCCATCTTTAAAGGCAGCACTGTTACCTCCACTGTCGTAGCTAGATGCTTCTGCCCCTTCCTCGCCCTTCCAGTTCCAACGACGTATCCACTCTCCATCCCCCTTGTTCGTACGTATACCTGTCTTTCGAACATCGAATCTATATTTTTCCATACTAGTCGGTATTTCGGTTCCCTTTTTTTTTCCTGATCGAATTTTTCTTTCTTCCAATATTGCTCTCCTTTATGCTTTCTCTTTTCGTCCGTCCCTGTTAATTTACGATTGGGGGAAAAAGAAGAGAGAAAGAAACGCTTAAAAGAAGAGAAAGTATGCTTAAACGTGTACAAAATATCATAGTTATTTCGCTTTAATCGATAGATTATTTTTCTTTTCGAACGTATTATCGTAAAAGTTTTATTTCGATCTAGTTTCATCTAGATGTTTTAAAAATGGAACATCGAGTATGGCGAATCGTATGATTGCAATGCGTTACAACGATAAGTCGTTTTAAAAACCATTATATCGTATATAATTGGACGAAAGAACGAGTATAACATAATCGTTTTCGTTTCGTTGAAACAGCCGTAAGGCAATTCGAAATAGCGCGGTTGTAGCTGTGTTTCCCGTAGTCGGCGTCGCACTAACCGCGGCAGCACTATCAGCTGTGTATACATGCAGTTGTCCGTACCAAACATCTCGCCGCTAGCATCGGAGTATTTTGTGAATTTTGTGTCGTTTTCCGTTGTGAAATTTTCATTGGAGATTATTACAAACAGTCCGTAATTCTCTCTTTGAACAGTGTCGGTAAGATCGTTGATTTCTTTTTACTTTATGCGAGTAACGCTAGTCAAAATTTGACATGGCGTTGACACACGGATTTCGGTCGAAATTTCTATAAAAATTCACAACCACTTACCATCGTTCTTTTCATTTTTTTTCCCGGTATCGCATATCATTCTACGATGATACTTGCAAACGTTCGAAGCTTATCTTTTCGACCGTTCCAGCGAGAGAAACCGCGTTCGCTGACGTTTGCACATGTATCTCTCGTGCTTACGATCCACAAGTGGTTGTGTACCGCGGTCATGCATAAACTCGATCTTTCCAAATTTGACGATGACGAATTTATCGTTAATTTCCCAGCGATAGACGATTAGTTAGAAATGCTCGTGGATACATTTAGATTTTTCGACTCTAAACTGTAGGCTTAAGAGTGTGTAGAAACGAAGACGTTCGTCGTAGAGTCGAGTGTTGGTAAATTTTATTCGAGCAAACGAAAAGTGTTAACAATTTCGAGTAACGAAAGGGGAAACCGTGCAGGTTGGTTAAGGTACTAGTCGTAACGAACTTTAAGCTAGATATTATCGAATTATTTAGTAGAAGGAATTGTAAATCGCAACGACGGTGCATACTGTCATCGGTAATTTTATTTTCCATGTGGGATATGTAAATAATTACACGAAATATATCGATAATAAAAACAGCTGTATACAAGAAATGAATATATCGTATTTATTAAAAAATATTCACTGTGTCATTTACATTTTATTTGAACTACGGTTTTTTCATTTGTTACAGTTACTCCCGTATTCCTTGTTTATTTTTCATTCGTCGTTCTGGTAAGTCTCTTGATTTTTCGTTCTTCTTTTCATCCATTTTTTCCTTCCTATTTTTCGTCCATTATTATTTCGAAACATGCTCGTTTATCGATAAACGGAAATAAACGACGAGCAAGGGGAAACGCTAGCCGGTTACCTGCATTATCGGCTGCAGCCGGAATTGCAATTGATATCCGGTACAATAGATGGCGATAGTAGTTTCTTTCGAATGCATCGAACGGTAGACGATTCGTATGCATCTCGCGGAAGAAAATGTTACGCGGTACCTAATGCAAAGTCGTTAATCGCGTTTAACCGGTTCGCGTACGAAAATAAAAATGGAAAATTTTTTTAAAAAGCATCCCAATTCGAAAATCACGAATCAGCGCGTACAAGACGCGCGCAAAGTTTCGCACGTCTCTTTAATCTCTTGGAATTTACGTACGTATACGTATATGGGGAAACGTAACGTAAGAAAATTGAAATGGAAAAACGGAAAGCTCGGTTAATCTTACGCTAGGATGATAATCTTGCGTTTTACCAATTATTACTGCACGATCGCGTTACTCGGATATACGGATGTCGATGCATGCATACGCAGCGAAGCGTTTGCGTACGTATACGTAAGTAGCGTGAATTGGGAAAACATTGGAGATTTACAAGCGGACGCGCGACGGGGCAACGGAGAGTTAACGAAAACGTACGATCGTGGACGATACAGAAAGGAGAGATTAATCGGCGGAGATGGAGGACGCGGGAAAATCTGGATGGGTTAATCGGCGGAAGCAGAAGAAAGGGAGTCGAGAGGTTGTACGCGTTTGGCGAAAAGTTATCAGTGCACGGCGTCGTTCGTCGAACGTATCGTTGGCTAGTCGAGTCGGAGAGAGGGTTGCGAGGGAGGTACCCGTGGGGTAGTGGGGGTAGGGAGGGGGTAGGGCAAGGGGTGCAAGAGGTGTCAGGAAAGTGTTTTACTAGCCTTAATTTCGTGTGCTTTCGCAGCCAATATGTCGGGCAGTAAATTGCAAACTTTCCAGCGGGTTACGCGTTTCGGTGTTGCGCGTTTTAGCACTCGCGGTTTTAACGACCCCGTCCATCCTCTGTTCCGCATCCTCCGGCTCAAGGAACGCTCGTCGGATATTAATCCTGTAAACAAGCGCGCTTCTTGCCAGGTCCGCGGAATCGCTGGCTCGTCCGCGAGCATTTTTGTCCGATCGTAGCCCGCTAACCCGCGCGGGGTCCCTTGTGTCCGTCTTCCGTCCACCTCCCTCTCCGGGAAGATCGCAAACAACGGGAAATCGGCGGAAATTCGACCTTTGCGAGTCGCGCGATAAACTCGAACGAAACGTTTAACGGGAATTACGGTAGAGCGTAAGCAAACAGGACGGACCGATTAAACGATGGAGGATTGGCGTATAAAAATTTACGATATCCAGAAAAGTTGGCACGTGCGACGAACCAGCGAGAGTGTCGACGAGAGGGTAGCCGAAGGTTGTCGGAAGGAGAAGAGGAACGCGGGTACGAGGAAGGGAGAGGAAGGGAGTGGAGGAAAGAGCACGACAAATCGATTGAACCAACATAAGCGTCGAAGAACTAATAGAAAAATAAAAAAAGAAAAAGAAGTGGGGAAAAAATAAAATAGTAATTTAGTTAGTAAAACATAAAGCCACGTTGGTGGCCGGAGAAGGAAGGCAAACACATTAAACATTTAGAGGGCATAATAACCCGTGGCATACGTAATACGGCTGGCGCCCTTTTCACCGATGGCTATGAATAATGTACATACGCCAAGGTATGACGTAGGCTCGCCGAGCTGTGTGTATTTCACGGTGGGGTAGATCGACCAGACTATTTCCAATAACCGCCGCGTAACGTTATCGCGAGACCGTTCGCGAGACCTCGAGAACCCTTTTGTGCCATTCTTCGTTTCTGTCCTCCTCCGCCCTCTTTGTCCCCGTTTCGATCCCGCCTTCTTCGCGAGACCGCTGCGAGCCGATCGTCCGAAACCGCGAAACCGCGAAACCGCTTCTTTCGACAGCCACCCTCGCGTTTCGTCCTTTCGTCAACGATTCGTGTCGGTGTAGCCAGTCGATCGCGAGAAATCTTCCCTTCCTCTCGTTAACTCCGCGCACGGAGAACACGGAGATCGGTGTAATGGCGAGAGGAAAGGAAAAAGTGGCGTTTCAAGGGTGCAAAATTGAGAAGCGCGAATAGAGTCGGGCGGGAAATTCGTGAAACGACGCTGGATAGGATCGAAAGGCGAGACTCGCGATCGATCTCTATCGGTAAATGCGACATTTACGGTTGGAAAGGGTCGAATTTCTGGGAAACGATGAAAGACGTTTATTCTCCGCGCGACGCAACGAGTCGTGCGCGGAATACAACGGGCGCAAAGAGCGGGCGTTGTTTTCGCCGGCGGACAATACCAGCGGAATTCCAGGGACTATAAACAAATGCGCGACCGCGATTATTATTCAAAATCGTCGCGAGACCGAGGATGTTGTTGAAACATCGACGTCACGGTTGGCGAAAACAGGGGAAGCGAGGAAGGATTAACGAAGAAAGTTGGCGAGGTTGGCGGTTGCCGGGCGATCGAGCCGGAGGGTAAAATTGGACGGAAAGGAAGGATGGAAAAGTGGATCGGCGTCGGTTGGCGTCGGTTGGCGTCGGTTGGCGCGCGTGGACGCTCGCGTTGGAAACGGCCGGGAATCTGTCAGAAGGAGAGACGCGGCCGGGGGCACGGTGGTGCCGCCTCCGGGGACGAAACGAGCGTGCGACGAAAAGGCAGACGGGCAGGCATGACGGTTTCGTTGACGGGCTACGACCGAAACGATAGGAACGAAAAACCGGCAGGACACGCGTTCGCTGTCCGATAAATCTACTAGAGACGTCTAGGGGGTAGGGTAGAGCGGATTCGCGCGTTCGCGTGTTCGCGTACCGAATATCGCCATAAAGGCCAGCTCAAAAGTCAATCAAGCGGGCCGAATTACGTCGAAAAGCGCGGAGCGCGTGCGGGGCGAACGCGGCCGCCACCGATATACAACAAAATGAAAGCTATCAGAGGTGACAATCCGCGGACGACAAATCAGCGTGTATATTTAATGCCCGTGGTGCCACCCTCGACCCCGGAAAACCTCCCGACGCTCGAGATGGAACGCGTTCGCACCCTCTCTTCCTTTCTCTCTCCCTCTCTCTCTCTCTCTCTCTCTACCTCTCTCTCCTGCTCTCTCCTGCTCTCTCCTATGCTCATCCGACTCCTCTCTCACGGCTCCACCGTTTCGCTCGTGCTCTCGCTTCGCTTCAGTCGCTCGTCTCTTTTCGCCCTCGCTCTCGTCCTCCTCGTTCTTCTTCTTCTCCTCCTCGTTCTTCTCCTCCCCCTCCTGTTCTTCCTTTTCTTTCTTTTCTTCCTTTTCGTTCTTCGTCTCGCGCCGAATTTCCCGTCTCTCTTCGCTATCACGGTCAACCAGTCGCTCGTCTCTTTTCGCCCTCGCTCTCGTCCTCCTCGTTCTTCTTCTCCTCCTCCTCGTTCTTCTCCTCCCCCTCCTGTTCTTCCTTTTCTTCCTTTTCTTCCTTTTCTTCCTTTTCTTCCTTTTCTTCCTTTTCGTTCTTCGTCTCGCGCCGAATTTCCCGTCTCTCTTCGCTATCACGGTCACGTTTCGTTTTTCTTCGTCACCCGTTACCGTGATCGCGTCGTTGCGCTCTCGGATATGTCACTATGCCACCGACGTCACCCCGTGAACGACCCCTCGTTTCTCGCCTCGATCGTCTCTGCCCGACGCGTTAT